TTCATTGCTGAGAACTTTTTCATTTTAGGCCATGTTATTTACACTTATTGCCATGCCAAAATATGGTCTCAAATTAATAAGGCAATGGTCATATTTATTGTATAATTTATGACAATGGGCCTAAACTTGGCATTTACGTGCATCTCGCCATCAAAAACAATGATGCCAAATAGAGTTTGCAATATTTTGTACAAAAAATATTTTTTGCATTTTTCTAAGTGTAAAAGATGGATATTTTTGTGAAATGGGTAAAGAAAACATAGTGCAAAATGGCACCACTCCAATTTTCAACAAAAAGTAGACCATATTTTTAGAAAATTCACATGTTTTCTGGATCTTCTAGATTTCTAGCTACTTTTGCACATTTAAATTCAAATTTGAATTTCAAGTGTACGCAAGTAGTAATTATATGAAACAACCACTTAGAGTTTGAGAGATTCAGCCCCTTTCATGAATGGCCATTTTGACCTTGTTTGGGAAAAATGAAACAGAAAGGATACAAGTCCAAAAAATGCAAGCCTTTCATATGGACTCCTTTTATGTGTACTAGTTAGGATGAAAATAACAAACTTTCAATATGAAAATTTTGAAAGAAAAATATCCTTCACAAAACAGGCTATCGTGTATGAACATTCATGGTTTTCAAGTCAAACGACCAAGGTGATGACCATATTCATTGCATAATTTATTATAATGTGCCCAAATTAGACATATAGGTGAATATTACCATTTCAAATAATGTTACAAAATAGATTTTCCAACCTTTTGTACAAAAAATTCATTTTCTATTTTCTAAGTGTCAAGAACGGGTGTTTCTTGGGAAGCGGGTACAAAAAACAGGGTGCAAAATTGCACCACTCCAATTTTCATAAAAAGTAGACCATATTAGATGGACAATTCCCAAGTTTTGTAAATTTCCTAGATTTCTAGCTAAAAATTAACAAGTCGTGTATTTTAAATATTTGGAAATATTTTTTAAAATGGGAAGGGTGGATATTTGGAGGATAGCGTGGACATCTGAGGGTGCACCTTTAAGCGTTGAAGATGCCTTTATGTGTTGGTTTATGCCGTGCTCAACCAGCAATGTGGTAGTATTAATCAGTATATACTTTTGATTGTAAAAGAAATCAATATATAATTTATTTGGATTATTGTAATTTGCAGGGAAAACTTTGATGGATTTATTTAGCCTATTTTTTGTGAAATCACTAATTAAGGGGTACCTTTTTGCAAAGGCACTCCCCACCTTCATTGGTGCCGACAAGTGGCGCACTGCGTGTGTGCCACTTGTTGGAACATGGGAATTTCCCCTTCTTCGCATAGTTTAAAAAACCGGACCGGACTGGCAGTTGAACCGAAAAAATCGGAACTGACAACCTTAGTGATTTTTCAAGATAATAAGACCGTTCTGCAATCAAACCAGAGAAAACCGGTCGAACCGGCTGGTTTTCTAGAAAACTGGTGAAAATACCGGCCCATAGAACCGGGAAAAACAGGAAAAATGTTTTAATAGAAATTAGGAAATTGGGAATTGATCCAAAGTCGTGTGAGCAGTACATGGGGCCTACCCATGGCCCAATAACCAACTTGGTTGTGCTACTTTGTTGTCCAATACATGGATATAATTTTATTTGACCATTGTTACAGACTATAATACCACATATATTATCTTATTGCTTAAAAAATCGATTATCGAACCGGTGAACCGGCGGTTCGACCGGTAAAAACTTGAACCGACAACCTTTCCGGTTCGGTTTCTGGTTCAGTTTTTTAAACTATGCTTCTTCATGGATTCATTTTTTAAAATTATTTTATCTCTTGAACCGTGCATTTAAATCATAAACCATTTAAATCGTTGGATTTCTCACGTCGAGATCTTTAAAACTAGGTCCCATGTTTCGATGAACTTTTTCTTCACGAAAAATCAAAAACAAAAAAAGGATGAAAACGAAAAATACATAAACCAAAGAAGGAAAAAAATCAAAACCAAAAAAACGTAACCCGAAATCACGGTTGTGCTTTTTCATAATATTTGGAAGAACAATTGTGCTTTCTCCTTTTCAGGAAACACGGTTTTGCTTCTCGTGGAAGCACATGCTATGCGTTTCCATTTTCCAGAAGCACATGCCATGCCTCTCTTTTTTTCAGGGAAGCACAGGCGTGCACTTTTTTCAGAGAAGCATAGATGTGCTTTTTCCTTCTCAGAGAAGCACTACCTATGCATCTCATCCAAGAGCATGCCATGCTTTTCCTTTTTGGGGGGAATTATAGTTGTGCTTTGCCTGTTAGGGAAGCAAAATTGTGCTTTTTTCCTTCTCGGGAAGTTGTGTTTCCCACACAAAAGCACGGCTTCATGAAAAAACGAAAAACATGTGTAAGAAAACAAAAATTCTAAGGGTGTACCCATTGCACGACACGTGGCAATAGTTGGGCACGTAACTTGATGCACTCTCAAGGCCTAAAAGTGACCTATGTGGGAGCAGGATATGTGTTAGATAGTTGGAGACCTCCTTGCATCAAATAGGAGAGTGCCCACAAAGAGGGCGCGTCCTGGTGGGCCAGCCCAGGAGCGTGTTGCACTCTAGCGCAAATTGGTCAAAATGTAGAAAGTGATGTGTGAGCAAAGGGCGCATGGCTAGCTACTCAAGCTCATGAAACTCTGCTGACTACTAGGACGCGTTGAACTTTAAAAACTAATCGCAACATCACATCTGAACCTTTTTTTTTGAAATTTCAAAATGTGATTGTTTTTTGAATGTAACCTTTTGAAAATTTCCAAACATGATTGTTTTTAAAATGAATACTTTTTAAATCTCTAAACAAAATTTGAAAAGTTGAACAATTTTTTAGAAACACTCAAAATTGTGGACATTTTCTGAAAAACGTGAAAGAATTTTGAAAACTTCAAATACTTTTCAAAGCATGAAATGTTTTTGAAAAAAACATGAGGATATCGAATTCCAAACAATTTTGGAACATTTTTTGGAAATGTTAAATATATGAAAAAAGTAACAAGATAAATGAAAAAAGAAAGAAAGAAAGAAAGGAAAACTAGTGAAGAAAGAAAACAAAATAGAGGAAAAACCTGGAAAAAAATAGTGTAGTAAGAAACCGATCCTAGCTACTTGGGCTGGTCCATCTGCGGCTTGCTCGCTGCTCATTTCCGTGGATAAAACCAAGTTTTGTTCATCAAACACCATAGAGTGTAGGATAGAGCTCGGGTCGTGGCACTAACCACACCAAACGTGACGCCCCAGACCTAACGAAAAAGAAAACCTGACTAAACTATGTGCTTCAACATTGACAGCACAACCTTAAAAAAATTACAATCAAATAAAGACGCTTGCAATTTGATCTCGCTGATAATGGCTCGTTTGCCGGATAGTTTGCTCACATTTTTTTGAGAGAAAATTTAGGCTTGATGGGCTGGTAAATCGGGCCAGCCAACCTCGAGTGCGGCCGGCCCGTCCTTAGTCCAATAGAAAGCCCGTCACGTCATTCAAGAGCCCACCCTTATCTGTTTTTTTTTGCCGGACCCG